CCCGGGGCCGCACGTCAGCGCCGGGCCCCGAGGAGACGCGGGCCGCGCGACCGCGAAAGCCGCTCGCTCCGGGCGCCACCCGGGTCGCGACAAGACCCGCGCCCTCTTGCCGCCGCCTCACCCGGGTTGAGAAGACGTGAGGCGCTCGCCAGCACGGGAAATGCCCGCCGCCCCGCCGAAAGCCGGCCTGCCGACCCCCGCCCCAATCGGGACCTGCTGGAACTCACTTCTTGTCAGGGCAAATCCAGTCCCCGTCACTGACTCGGAAATTCTTGGTCGACATCTTGGCCGCCTCCACCGCCACAGCCGCCCGCAGCGACGTCTTCGCAGAGGAGCGCGGCGGGGGCTTTCGGCAGCGCAGGGCTGCCCGCGCACTGCCTGAGCCCGCGCACACTGCGGCAGGGCTCGCCACGGGCGGCGCCAGGCCGGGGCTCGGCGCGACGCCTTCGAGGGGACTGCGCTGCCTGTGCGCTTGTCTTTTTGTGGAGAAAAGTTATAAAACAGCCATCTTTTTTAATGCCTAAACGAACAGGCGCTCTCAGGACAATCTAGCCAGGAGGCCTCCGTGGCGCTAGGAGCTTCGGAGAGCCCCCTACAGGCGGGAGGACCCAAAGGAAAGAAACACTTCCGTTTAGATGGACGGGGCTGGGGAAGCGGAGGCGGAAGTGATGCGTGACTGTGACGCGTTCAGGGTAGATGAGCCAGTGACCTAGTCCGCCTTTGGGTGTGGGTTGTTCACGATTTGGAGAAATTATTTTAATAAAGAGAGAAAGCCTTTTCTTATTGTGTATTTGGGGTATCGTGTAGAAACCTGTTTTTATGCATAAACAAGATAGTTAAGGTATACAAGGAAGCCAACCAATACTTTAGAAACCAGGGGGTTATCAATGTTGTTAAAATCACCTTTGTTTGTTTGTTTGTTTGTTTGTTTTTAGTCTCATCTCAATGCCTTCCTCCTGATATGACATTATTCTTTATTTTGGATTTGTTCCCTTTAGAAAAAAACCTGGTTTGTGTACATGTATACTTAGTAAACTGTTTAGCTTAAAGATAAGCACTTTTTTACACTTGCTTTTATGCTTCTAAATGCATCCTATGTAGCTGCGTGTATTTATAGTTTCTGTTCTGTATGTTTTATCATTCTTTTTTTGGTGACAATTTATCTTTTTCTTTGCCGGGTTTTACCATTGCATTTTTTATGAATTCCAGTATCTTAATGCAAGTACGTTTAATATCTTTAATTTTTTATTTGCTTTAATATTTTTGGTAATTCTAACATGTTGGTCATTTAGGAGTTGGCTGTTGTTGATTATATTGTGTATTCATAGATTATCCTGGACACTGAATAATATATTGTGTAGACCCTGGGTATGTTAAAATATCCTGGGGAATTTTTTTTTTTTTCCTGGCAATAGTTCTAGTTTGTCAATCGGATGACAGCTTCAATCTCACCTTCCCTGACCACTGACTTCATCTAATTTGGCATTTCAAAGCTTTTGCTGTGATACTTTAACCCCTATACATACAGGGGTTGTTTTTGGTACTTGGGCAGCAATTCAAATAATAGTTCAGCTCATGGATCTTTTTCTGTGCTATTTTAGTCTTTGATTGGCCCTGCACATTTGTGAACATGAAATTTGGGTGGAGTCCCTTTCTCTGTCTCTTTGATATGTTTCTTGCATGAGAAAGTCCCCTTCTCCTCATCTTCTCAGAATTATGAGGTTTCTCTTGGAAATTTTAGCTGCCTAGAAACAGCTATTGACTATGGCCTACATTGGGCAAAGTAGTGAAAAAATGGAGAAAATAGTGTGAAATCTTTCTAAACCCTTCAAACTATAGAGACCTTTCTTCCCAGGTTCTTTGTCTACAAAGACGTTTTTTTCTTGGTGTCATATGTGTCCAAAGGTAGACCCAAACCTTTGGTGCAAATTGAAAATCTTGGAAACAACCCAAATGCCTGTCAACTACAGAATGGATTAAAAATGTGTGTGTGTGTGTGTGTGTGTGTGTGTGTGTAATACAATAATGAGCTACTCAGCCATGCAGAAGGATAAACCTCAGACATTTGTAACTAAATGAATGGACCTTGAAATTATATTCTGAAGCAAAATAAATCAGACAAATAAGTAAATACCCAATTGTTTCTCTGGTGTGAGAAATTGAAAATAACCAAAACATATAATAGACACTGTGAAATAGGAATAAATTGTTCAAAAGGAAAGGGGGAGGAGGAAGAAAAAAAAAGGGGAAATGAAAAAAGATTAAAATAGAAACAATTTTGTAAATAAGGAGGGGAAAAGGACTAGAAAAGAGGGGAGGAGGATGGAAAAAAAGAGGAATCAAGATATACCATGTATAGCTACAAATTTCCTGTGATGAATGTGACGATTATGTATATTTAAATGGTACTGATAATAACAGTTTAAAAACACCACAAGGTCCAGATTGAACCAAAAACAAACGGAAAGAAAATGATTTAACATTTCCCTATAAATTTCTGGCTCATAGAAATCTCATTTTTCTATTCATTTGGTTTAAAAAATGAGATTTCTTTATTGCTCCTGTTAACTGCTTCTACCACAAATTCACAAGGTACTGGGTCTCCAGTCAAAGTTGTAAGAAAAGACAAGAAAATAGATACAGATCATTTCTCTTAAGTTTACATTTCTTATTCCAATTTGTATATTTTTGTTTACTTTTCAGAGTGCTAAGGCAATAGTTTTATTTTCCATTTATGTATTTGGTATAAGGTCTCACTACGCAGCTTGGACTCATAGTGATCCTCCTGTTTTAAGCCTCCCAAGTGCTGGGATTACAGGCATGCGCCACTACCCCTGGACTCGGTCCCCTATTCAGCATGCCCCGAGGGCAAGGCCGGTGCTGCATGTGGACTGGGGATCAAACCCTGGTCCCTGGGCTTGCCAAAGCAGGTGCTTAGTCCCCTGAGCTATCTCTCTGGCCCAGGGAATAGTTTTTCTGTGTTATCCTGAATTGTTTTTTTTTTTTTTAAATTGTAATCCGTGGGAATGACAGGTTACAATGAGCTTACTGAATCTCAACTGGCATGGCAAATCAGGAGGCATATTGAAGCCATAATACAGCCTGGCACAGTGATGCATGCCTATAATCCTAGAACTCTGGGAGGATTAGGCAGGGGATTGCAAATAGTGGCCCACTGTGGGCAATTTAGCAACTGAGAGAAACATTGTCTCAAAGTTTAAAAAAGTTAGAAGTTCCAAGCTACAGCTCAGTGCAAAGGCCTGTGTTTCAATCCCCTGTTCCACCAAACAAAGAAACAAACAAAATTGTAACATAATGTTACTATGCAACCATCAAAAATAAGTAAAATAAAAAATTCAGACAGCATCAAATAATGAAAGACACAACATGTTAGGGCACATTTATACAATGGCAGACTTGTAGGCATATGTAGTGGTTGATACATTGTGTCAGCTTGGCTCCTTGACTCTGAGGCTCCTGTGGTGCTGGTGGGGGTCCTAACTGGTTGTGGGGGGACAAAATTGGTTCCAGCCCCAGAGTAACTTAGCACAAAGAGGCCATATAAAGGGACTGAGGAAGGAGTCCATGTTCCACTTGGTGGGAGGAACTTAAGTCTTCACGTTCCACTGGCTTGGACCAGCGGACCCATTAGGTGATGTATAGAGATTTGCATGGAGCACTGCAGTGAGCTTCAGACCTTGGGGCTGAATTCTTCAGTCTGGGGTGTGCAGACGCCCTCTGCACGCTTCCTCATCTGACTCTAGGGCTGACTGTCCTAAGCCAATCTTGTAATTCCTTATACATTGTATATCTTGTGTTAGTATCTATTCCTTATATTATATCTGTTCCTCTAAGTAAAACCCTGACCAATACAGCAGATTATAGCAAGAGTGAGAAGTCAGTCCGGGGAGTGTAACCTCATTCTCCTGCTGCCTGTCATGCAACTAGCTTACTGTCTTCTTCTAGCCTTGACTGTCTAGGCACAGATGTCCACCTTAACCATGTGTAGGGTCAGACTGTGTCCAGCTTGTGTTCTAAAAATATGCAATGATTCCAAATTGCTTCAAGGACTTCAAGGATTTCATGTTTGGGGAAGACCGGCCCAGTCAAGGACACATTCAACTCAGCCTACTCTTCTCATCCACTCTCTCTCCTACAATGGACCTGTAGAAGCCTGCCTGACACTAGATGGCACCTTCTTATACTCCCTGTGACCAATCATGTGATAACCTGCTATCAGCTATGGCCTTCCTGCTTGCAAACTGTATTTAAACAACTCAAACCTGATGCTGAGCTGGTGATTTGAATGTGTGGGTGCTCCAGCCCATTAGCACAATAAAACTTGCCTTCTAACTCTGTGCAGAGTCCTACATTAGGTTTGATATTGGCTTTTCTCCAACAGTAGAGCAACAAGAATTCTTTTAAGGTACTGGTACAAGTATTAGTAGATTCATTTAGAGATGGTCTCCAAGTTGTGATGATTTAAGGTACAATTTTTAAATTTTATGATGGATTCCCAACATATTCAGGAGAAATCAGAATTCTGAATTCCGCAGTCTATCAATGATCATACTCTTACAATTCAGGGAACTAGCAGCGAGCCGTAGTTCTCAGTCAGCTAAAGGATCCTGAAGCTCAACAACTGACTCTACAGTGTTTCGTGTTACTGAGCGATTGTGTTCAACAAGTTAAGTGCACTAAGTGCATTTTTCACTTAAAGTATTTGCAAGTTATAATGACTTTACACATAGTACGTTCTGCTTTACAGAAGTTACCTTATTATAAGTAGGACAGCATTCGTACTTTGAAAATGTCATAATTTATTAAATTTGAATTGACACATGCCTTATGACCCTGAAATTACATTCCAGAGTATACAGCATAAGAAATCCACATGTTCATTAAAGATATGTATAGTGATATGCATAACTGCATTATTATTATTATTATTATTATTACTACTGTTGCTATTTGTGGTACTAGAGATTAAACTGAGGGCATTCAGACAAAGTCATGTCCCATGCCCCACTCCTCTTTTTTAGAAAATATCTTGAGACAGGGCCTTTTAAGTTGCCTACATTCCCCAGGCTGGGATGGAATATAAAGTCCTCACATTTGAGGTTTTCAGAGTTCTGGGGTTAAAGTCATGTGCTACCATTCCTAGCTTGCTGTTATTCCTTTTTCCCTCTATTTTCTGCATTCTAGGGAAGGGTCCACAGGGTGCTCAGGTTCTCACCACTAGAATGGACTTGTAGTGATCCGCCTGTCCACAGCCTCCCAAGGGCTGGGACCACAGGCCTGTGCCACCATGCCCAGTCTCAATTGCCATCTCAGCACACCCTAGGGGCAGGGCCGGCGTGG